GCTGATTTGCTTGAATATGTACTTTCTGGTTTCATGTCGAAAATAGTGGTGCTCAAACAAAATAGCAGAATCCTTTTTTTGCGCAGAAAATTGCAAAGTACGGATCGCAGAAGGAATGCGGTATAGGAGATTTGAAAATCGTGACGACGGCGCGTTCGCGACACGCATGCATACCAGGCAACCGCTACTTTTTGGTTTTCACCTCTACTCAAATCATTTTTTTAAACATATAATAGCATGTACACATTGGAAGTGACTGAGTTGAGAGACAAGGCGAAGCCGTTTTGTATGAATGTTTTCTGCTCCTATGGGCGCAAAGACCACAGTCCAATTGGTCGTCACGATTCTATAAATCACCTTTACTTTCAGTGGCCTCTTCACTGGCAGTGTGACGAATGATAATGTATAGTTGAAAAATTCGTAGATCTTTGACCGCGAAAAACTCCGCTTCTTGTGGAGTCTCTAAATCGTTTATCCATTATCCGAACGTTCTCATCGCGCCAGCTAGATCAGCATCTCATATCATCTTTACATTTGCCACGAGGTGACCATTGTTAACAATGCAAATAGGGCAATTCTCACTCTAGATTTACCATAGCGATTCAGTGATTGCACTTCACCCATCATACAGGTATTAGGGTATTTGCAACCCAATCTCCAGTCTCGCAATTTCTACCTTCTCTAAATCGTCAGTCGTCAAGCGAAATTTTTATACTAGCACATCATTGTTTTAAACCAAGAAATTGTCGGAGGCACATATCAGTTTTGAGCCCTCACATTATGTAATGTTTAGTGAATTTGTGAAAATACTTTTGAAAATCTGATACCTCGTTTCCTTAATCACATTCGCCCAATGCCTACTCCACTTGCGAGATATCTGACTTTGTTTTTTGCTTGTACTTCAAAAGTAAGCGCTCTTGACAAATCACTACACCAATTAATTCGCTAAAGTTTTAATATGAAAAGAAATGAGGCAAACGCATTGTCTTTAAATTCCTGATCTCCCTATCACTTCAACTCTGGTTCTCGTACTTTGGAAATTTTTACCTATATCTTAACGTTTGCAGTCTAGCTAGCGCAGTCACATTGCGATGGTTAGCTGTAAAAATATTTTTATTTGTGGTTTTTGGTGTGATATGTCAGCAATTCCTCTCTCTTTCTTTTTGAAATGCTCCTGATTTTCTGCACTTTCATTTGAATGAAAGTTTACCAATTATTGAAAAAAAGCAACTTTCTTCTTTCTAGGGAGAGACAGAGTACCGAGCGAGGCCTATTTTATTAGTCCTTATGATCTTTTACTCGTTTAGTTTCTGACACAATTACGCTGTCCAATTCGTTTTCCACTCATTCACAAGGAGTGTTTGATTTGTAAGCCAGAACATGGCTGGCTACCTTTGAATTATAATAAAGGGCCTACGCGACAATTTTAAAATGTGAAATGCAAAGCTTTAAAATGGTGTACAGTCGTGTTGCGTGTATTGTGTTTTGTTGCTGTGTGTGTCCTCCATGTGTATGGTGTGTGCATGTTGTGGTATTATGTGTGTTTATGTTGTGTTTATGTTGTGTGCATGTATGCGTGTGTTTGTGTTGTGTATGTTTTCCGATTTTTGATCAGAAACGTAGCTCACGATGGCCGTTGTCCTTAATGACCACTACCACCTCAATAGAATAAGTAACTGTATCAAATCCAATTATGTTTCTGCCGAAATTTTTCGCTTTATCTCACATGTTCTCTTGTTTTGAAATTGGGCATTTTGTGAGATAGTTAGCTTTACTAGTTTTTTTTTGTCGTAGGGTTAATTGGTAACCCTTAGGCCTTATGTCTTGCACGCCGTCGTCGGATGCTTGAAAGGTATCGGTAACGTTAATTCACAATCTCAGCTGGCAAGTTAGCCCACTCAGTTGGTTCCGAGTGGAAGCAGTGAGTTTGTGGGTAGAGGGAGGGTTACTTACCAGAGTGTCACCAGAGTGTAGCAGTGCAGGTTGCTTCAAGTGTGCCGATCGACCGCGGTCGGAAATGAGCAGTCGTGTTGTCAACGGACCGCTCAAGTAGGGCAGACAACCCTATAGCCTAATAGTTAGTCTCCAAATTCACTGGTTCTATATTTAAAATGTTCTGGAATGATCAAATGTATACAAGTTATGTTATGTTTAAAGTTATGATAGTCAGCATTAGCAGAAAGTTGCAAAGCTATCTATATGCGACCGTAAGAAGTGCCTAGTCTTTGCTTCTAAAATATTAGGTCGTTCCATAAGTTCATAGCGTCTTCATTTTCGTCCTCATATCTTTGAGCAGCGGTTGATTTGCGATACGATGCGATATCATCAGAAGGAGCTGATTGGCTCTTTGAAATGTCTACTAATTTCAGTAGGAAAGCTGATTCACTCTGATTTCGTGGCTTCCAAAAATGGAAATCTTATAAGGCAAAAAAGAGCAATTTTTGACATTTGCGCATTTTTCCTTATGAAAAGAAGCGCTTTTGCACAGATTTTTGTCGATTATGGAATATGGCGCTCGCACATCAATATGAGACCAAAAACGACTACAAGAAAATTAGGGGCTGAGCAGGGTGTCCCTTAACAAGACTTTTTGGGGGACGGGCAGGACGTCCTGCACTGCAAATTGCTGTACAGGTGATGGTCAACCATACCGTAAGCAACTTAACTGCAGCGCCTAAACCATGCCCTGTCGCAGAAAAAGTCTGATAGACAGATCCATTGAGTTTTTCTGCAAGACGAAACATGGTCTCGTACGGCAAACGTCGTCAAAACTGTTTTTGCACGATTTGATTGAAAAATGCTTTAGTACCCAACGTACTCTCCAAGGCCCGTATGCATGTACGTCCCCTCTGGGGAGAGGAGGGGAGTTGGATCCTCAGGGGAACGGTCCCCTCCACTGCACCTCAGCGAGGATGGTGTGAATGGTTTCCGAGGTATTGATCCGACGAACCCCAGTGCATACGAGGTTCGGTGGGGAAGGGGATCCCTTTCCCCTCCCCACTCGATCCCCGTATGCACAAGGGTAACTCAACAACGCAGGGGAGGGGATGGACATCCCCTCCAACGAAGTAGAGGTTCGATGGTTTAGGTCATGCCAGAGAAGCGACTAAACTGGTTTCAATCAGTTATTACAAAGCATTTCGTTTAAATTGATTAAAGATTTTCCATGGTAGCTGGGTTCCTCTCTCAGCGTCCTGTAGCTTGCGCTTTGTCTCTCTCCTCTATATTCGCTTCTCGTGAAGAAACTTGGGTATATATCTGCCAGTTTCGAATATCTGTAGGAGTTTCTAAACATTCTCAGATTTGCGCATTTTTTATATGACATGCTTGTTTTATTTATGAAGACTGGTACAACACACTGTAACTATCATATTATATGATATGATGTCTTTATCTTGTTATCCTAACGTAAGCTGCTTTGAAGAAAATGGAAATTAGCAGATTCGCCCATTTCTGAGTAGAGATCTCGGGGGAGTGATTCCCTCGCCAGCGTTCCCTCGTGCATAGCAGGGATGGCCGCTGGGGATCATTCCCTTGAGGTAAAGGGATATGTCGCTAATAGCTATAGCGTTGGAGAGCTGGTACGATTTGCAGCTTCTGTTATGCGTAGGAATGCTGGTTAGTTTCCCCCCCTCCCCTTTTTTTCGGCAGCATAAAGTTTTCTTCCCGTCTCCTGCAGAGAGATCTGACTTTTATTGTTGGACACTTCTAAGCTAAAATGGGCAGCATGAGCGAAAGTGAGCAGCATCATGACAACAGCAGGACTATATCGGGCCTAGAAAATACAATTTTTGGTTGCCGAGCGCATTCACGGCAGATGCGCATTCTGCAACGCCTAAATCATTGCCGATGACGAAAATTGAAGATAAGCAGTCGTCAAAAGATGAGAATACAAAAAATTGCCATATGAAAGCAAAAGAAAAGTGATGTCCCCGCTCGATCCTCTTGTGCATAAGGGGGTTCCCTTCCCCTACTCCCAGGGGATCCCTTCGCCGATACTGTCTGCCTACATACGAGGGTTCGCCTGAGGAGGGGAGGGGAGAGCCCCAGCGGGGATCATTTCAACAGTAAAATGCACATCCCCTCCCTGCGGGGTTGTACGTGCACACGGGCCCAAATCTTGCTTTATCAGACTATCATTTATTCCGCTCTCTAGCAAAATCGTAAATGGTGCATGTTTCGATTTCGTTTTGTAGTTTTAGTGCTGCTTGGGCCTAAGGCATACCTCACGCGATTTCAGTCGCCGCGCGATTTGCCACTGCAACGACTCTCCATAGCTGGTCGTAAACGCACTTTGCTCGGGCCAGACTTGCTGTATTTGCTACAATATACGGAATCTACGCACCCATGCATCTGAGAGCCTCTCATGCCTAATCTCTAGACATTTGGCAAATCGCCAAATCGCGAGGATGTGGCGATTTCGCGAAATCGCGAACTATGCCTTAGGCCTTAGATGACATTCTTGGGATCCGGCGCGCTGCCGTATGAAAATTGAGATGAGAAGCTAACATGAATGTGCCAAAAGGTCGTGCGTTACATCGAGCAATGTAATGTTGACTGGGTTTTACTGTAAATTGATGATTTTGTTGGTTTATAAAAACGCTACGAGCTATGGAACGACCTAATACGTTCTTTATTTGCTATCAAAAAAACCCCATTGCATAATTGCATAAGCATGTTAAAGTTCATTTATATTTTGCGGTAAAAAGATGCCATGACTTAGGGTTTCGCCTAATACGTGAGCATATTTTTGTAAACGAAGTTTTGCACACTCGCAACATAGGAAGGACTGATCAAGACCATGGCTCAGGTAAGGCGGGATTCCAGCTAGTAGATCACAAACTGCAGAAACGGAAAATGACGTTACGGTTGGTTAAAAGTCGCAATACTATGAGGTTAAACCGTTAACCCACAGCGACCCACTTCAAAAAAAATAAATTGAAAATTTGTACGTCTAAAATGGATGATTTGCGCTTTGCGTGCTTTCAAATAAAACTCACTTGAAATCTGCCTCCTTATGGTGGCCAAGTTCCATCGCAACATATGGTCTGTCAACCTTTGTTACTATCATCGCAGTTCTCGCATCTTTAACAATTTTGCCAACTGTGGATATGAGTTCGAGTACCTGTAATGTAGAAATTTTTATTCGTAATTGTTAGACAAGCATGAGTATTTTTGAGAATCACATAAGTGGATTACACTTTCTTAGTAAGACCTGCAGAATATTCGCAGCAAGTATGAAACAAGAAATAATTTTATGAATTTTCTGCAAGTTTATAAGATCAAAAGCTTTTGTTCCATTCAATAAAAACGGAAAATTTGCTATGAGATCTTTTAATTCACTTTTGAGATAACCCCCTCTGGTTTCGGTGTAAGCCTTTACTCGCTTTCGAATCTCTTCCAAAAATTCTTTAAATGCGTGCAATCTTCGTCGCATGCGGTTACTAAGCTTCCTTTTGAGCCCACATTCACGTACATCCCCGCGGAGAGGGAGGGGGAGGATCTGAGAGGGGACGCGTTGCTCGCTATACAAATACATTTCTTCTTCTTCTCCATTTTGCTCAAAAGGGTCTCATACCCTGGCACATGCGCAAAATGGATGCCAGGTTACTGCCATACAAGATCAGGTTTCCACTATTTTTTGTGATTTTCTGAGGAAATCTTTTGAATCACTTCTTGTTTTCAAAATCGTTTATCTTCCTGGAAACTTAATAGAAACAGTGGAAATGTACTGAGCAAAATGGATGCCAGGATACTGAGGATACTGAGGATATACTGCGGCACTGCTTAACATGTTTTCGACAGGAAGAATTGAATCTTAAGATTGTGGATTTTTTGACAAATCCCTACCCGTGAACGTGGTTCATTGAAGTTTTCCATCATAAAAATTTACTTGTTTCTACTTTAAATGTGTTTAGCAGTCCCTGTTGTATCCTCAGCACAATTTCACAACTTTTTTTATTGAGTTTATAAAAAGATAAAGGGCGTGGTAGAAAATAAAATTGTTCTCCTGAGGATTCTACACAGTGTTCCATTTGAGTTGACAAGAATTTCTCATAGAAGATTCTTCTTCCTACTTTGATAAAATCCTCGCTACAAAAGTGCTCAGAACTCGTTGTCCAGAGGCGCTCTGCAGATAAGGAAGACAGATTTGGAATCAGCGTTCAATGTCTTTCAAGAAAGCAAGTGTCTCCTGAAAAGACCACTTCGATCAAGGAGGATCGTCCTGTAAGTGATTACTCACTTTCAAAGCGAGAAAAGTGTTCTAAGAAGTGGATGTTGCTGAATTACAAACAAGGCCAATCTTGGGGTGGCACGCCACACTTGGGCGGGGGGGGGAGGGGAGGTATAATGAGGAGCTCAAGAGAAGTAGAGGGGGGGGGGGTGAAAATGACGTGATACCCGGTGCAAGCAATGTAATATGATATGTACAAACAAAGCCAGTTGTCCTACAAACTACAAGCACAGTTAAGTTGTTATCCATCATCGTACTACAACCTTCAAAAATAAGGCTGAAAGTCTATTTCTATGTCTGTGTGTATGTACAGTTGGATCTACCAACTGTATCGAGCAATAGAAGTGGGAAAGCTTGTAGATCACTTATAATGAGAAAAAGAGCGATAAAAATCCACTCAGCGTTTCCTACAGTACTTTTCTTACCATATGCCAAAAATGATCAGAAAATGTGATAGTATCAGTGATAAAGGTCAAATGTTTATAAACTGCTCAATTTTTTGCGATAGTTTTCGGTAATGAGAACTTCGTACCAGAACCTGCTATTCGCGATTTACGCTGTGATAAATTTTCATAATAGCCTTAACCATAGAAAATAAGAAGGCATCACCATATGTCTACCGTGTCACCATGAATTACGGACATACCGTATACCAAAAAATTCGTCTCATCAAACTAAAGCCGAAAATTCTTGCAGATTTCATATAAAATTGTTCTAAAAGAAGTTACAGCTAAATCCCGCTTATCCCGCAAATCCGCGAACCTCGCAAATCCCGTGAAGTCGCAAATCCCGCGAATCCCGACAATCCCGCGAATCCCGATAGTCTCGCAATTTTGGACAAATTCTACCGCTGCAACTGTAATTTCCCAAGTCAAATAGGCAGAACAATGAATGTCATTTAAATTTTGCGACGAGAATGCGGTGACTTTAAGTGAGTCGGTTTCAAAGCCAGTCTATTCTTATAAAAAGTGCAGGTGGAAGAGATGCAGAAGGTAAGGAATCGGAGTAATCGGAGTGGGAGGTGGAGCGGAAGCTGGCGAAGATAGGTAAACCATATGTGATTCGCTTGGCGGCTCACTATTCGTCTTCAGGTGGAATCGGAAATGCCAGCTAGTGCGGTGCATGCTCAACTTATTATCAATGATATTTAGTATCTGCAATATCCACCAGAAATGGGATAAGCTGACCAGGCATTGTCCTTGTGTTGGCAGAAGACGCCACAATGATCGCATGTCGCAAATGATGGCATCCGCCGCGTTTCCTTCCACGCATGCTGTCGTAGATTTCTGCGCCGTTTCTGCGCAAATGCAGCTTACAATTAGCTACACGCATTACACACAATTAACATCTTCACAATCAGTTTTGCTCGCTATGCTCTTTAAAAGTGATTCAATCTCAGAAAAGCTTCAAAAAGCAACAATTGCGTCAGAGTTGCAAATCAGCTCAGTATCTAGAAGGAGTCTGACTGTGAAAATGATAAAAATCTCAATAATGCAACAGCTGTGTTTTACGCTCATAACAAAAAAAGAAAACTGCTTTTTTGAAAGCGCTGTTCAAATTTTTAGCGTAAGAATTGAGTTGAAAGTTATAACTTGTTGAATAAATATTCCAGTTTTTGACACATTGCAAAGTTGGCTTCGGTAAAATCAGAAGGTTACCTTTGACCATTCTTCATCTCCCATGGTTTCACTAGCATCGAGCACGAACACAATCGATTTGGCTGATACATCGCAAGACATGCACACAACACCCTTAATGCATCGTTGTTCATTTCTGTTAAGGAATCTTCTAGTAAACAAAAGGAAACCATGTTATTTGAGACTTCGTTACATGAGATTATAGGCTAGTTCCGGACGGTAGATATAGCCCTTGTGATTCCGTGATTGAGCGACAAAACTGGCACGAGGGCAATCTATGTGTGCAATGCTGGCATTTTGCATGCTCAAAAAGCGATTTAGAAATAACTATTTGTTCACTCAAATTTTAACACAATCTGGGCAATGCAGGGTCACTACAATATAAAAGAATTGCCTACTCCCTTTTGCGTGGGGATCATGTATCCGCAAGGCAATGACCTTGCATGCGCATTTCCAATTAATAAGGCCGATTCGAGTTTGAATGCCTATGCGATGCGCTCGTAAACTTTGAGAATCGAGACACCTACCAACACCCTTGTAAATACGTTTGGTATTGGTGCATTAGTTGCTGACATTAAAGAGTGAAGGCTGATGGCGCTGACAACGGAGGGCTAGACAAGAATAGCCCGAGCGGCGAGGATAGAAGGGCAGGATCGCATACTCAGAGAATCGCCGGGGAGGCGGCCATGCAATTTGTAGGCAAACGGCGAGGATAGAAGGGTAGGATCACATACTCAGAGAATCGCCGGTGGAGGAGGAAATGCAATTCATAGGCAAACGGGCGCCGGAAAAATAGTTCGCTGATTTCTTGCTGTCCGCTTGCAAATATTTGGAAGAATTTCGGCAAGGTTTTAGACGAATGCTGGAAGAACGATTGTGGCTTCTTCATAAATTAGTTGCGGCGCAGTGCGGGACTCCCGCGAGAATGCGCAGAATTGGGGGGGGGGGGGGGCACGGTTCTTTGTGGAGGACCGCACAGCCCGTTGGTACCTTCCGCTGAGAGGAAATATCCCAAACTTGGGTGATTATCTTGTATTGCTTCCCGCTGGCAGAAAACGGAAGTACCGCTCGCTGAAGGCTTGGCCAGCCCCAAGATTATGCTGACCGCTTTCAGGAAAGCGCGAGTTTGCAGACCGCCTGCCTTAGGCGATTATTTGGGCTGTGTATAAATTTTTAACGGATTCTCTGGTTTCCAAATGTTAAGTCACCCAAGTGAAATGGTCATAAAGCATAAATTTCTTTGTAACAAAGGCAAATCTCCTTCTAACGGTTGTCTCGTCAACAGCCACGCAAATGCATAAGCACAATGATCACGGTGACAATGACTATCTAGTCAGATGCATGTTAGGAACCGGATGTTTCTGCGCGGAAGCCCTCGAAGCCTTCTGGATCTCTCATAAGTGTTGTGTGTGTGTGTGTGTGTGTGTGTGTGTGTGTGTGTGTGTGTGTGTGTGTGTGTGTGTGTGTGTGTGTGTGTGTGTGTGTGTGTGTGTGTGTGTGTGTGTGTGTGTGTGTGTGTGTGTGTGTGTGTGTGTGTGTATTATGAATCTTGATGTAATTCAAAGTTTGGGAAACGTGAATTTTCTTTGACCCAATTTTTCGGAGGCACAGAACGTAGAGAAAAAAATACAAATAATCAGTTTTCACTTTGTGATTTCAAGTAACCGTCAAGAATGAGTCGCAGCAAGATACCGAACTTAGAGTTTGTTAACGTTTTTGCTAAAGTTGTGTTGTAAACGCCTATATGCAAAAGCTACGACTTCGAGTCAAATGTCGAAACGAATTTTTTCTTGCATAGTCAATGAGTAAATCTGCATATACAATACCGCCATAATTCGTCAAAAAAGTCGCCGAACTCTAGTGAGTGCGCCACAGTGCGCTGCAGTGCGGCGATGTGCGGCAGAGTGCGCCGGAGAACGGCGGAGTGCGACGCACTCTACTAGAGTGCGCCGGAATGCGCGTAGCATCGCCATATCTCGCTTCAGACTAGACGTATTTTTATTCCAAAGGCAACCTTCGATTCAGCTTGGCGAGATGCATCATCTGGTTTATAGAAGTGCCACAATCTGTCGGGGTAGGTAGGTATACGGTAGAGTAGCAGTAAGTTTCCGCTCCTCTTTTGCAGTTTTTTCTTTGACTGGATTGTCTAGTGTGCTGCTAACAATATTGCCGTTGATTTGCTGCTGATGGCACATCGTAAGGATACGGTAGGAGCATTGAAGAAAGTCATTCTGGTGAATTTGTTCTGAAATCAGCTTAAGGTACAACACGGCTCACCGAATCTGCAAAATTTCAGTGAACGTCGCGGAAAGTCGGGCATTCCATGAAGTTCGCGACTTTCCCGGAATCCCGCGTCATTCAGTCCCCCAAAATCATGAGAATCAAGCAAATCACGCAGAATCGTAACTTCCTTCGGAATGAATCATAACTTATAGTAACGGGCTAAGGGTGTTTACGTTTTTTTGTGTGTGTGTATGTGTGTGTGTCTGTCTGTCCGTTACGAAATTCGAGGAACGTGTTCCAGCCAACGTCCGAAGCCCAAATTTTGCATAGCGCATGTTGACAGCTGTAAGTCCACTATGCAAAAGCATGAGCGGATCCGTCGAGTGGATCCCTTAAAACTGCGCTTCAAACGGATCCACTTGCCTTCTTACCACCAAAATTGGGCCTTCACCACCACTTTTTGCGAAGTCATGGATTTGATTAACAAGCTAATGTGCAAGCCGTTGACTTTAGCCCAAATATTGAGCTAAAGTTGATTATTTCACGAAAATGGCACCGAAAAATATTAGTGGCGTAAATGGTCAATTTGCCAAGATTATACCTGATCATTTGAGAAGATTTTTGCACAGAGATGTAACCCCCGATGATCATCGTTGTTATGGCGACTACCAAGCTATAAAAAATCCGAAAACCGATTCAAATTTGCATTTATTCTTCTCGGAAAAGTTTCATCCACGCGAAAATACCGATCTCAAACAAAAAAGCTCTCGGAATGAGTAGTTGTTTACAAATCATTCGTGATAGCCTGCATAGCGCGGTGAGTTTCAATGTCATTATTATGCGGGAATGAGAAGGCGTACAGAAAGTAGGGCCAGTGCGAGCCTCTGCGAAGCAGAGGTGACGCACTGGTATATACTAAATCGTCTAAATTGTGTTCAGATCGTCGAGACAAACCTTTTAATGTACAGCATGTCTTCGACATTCGTTTCCAGTTTTCTCAAATTATTCTGCAATGTCCTTTCGCAAATATGTGAAGCAGCGCCTATCCAACATAGAGGACTCCGCTAAGCACTATTCGATAATACTGCTCTGGTGGATGCTCAGACTTTTTTCCCAAGGAGATAGAAGCGTTGGTGAATTCTGAAAAAATCACGCGTTTCTAAATTCTACTCCCCATAACTTCCTTCGCAATAAGTATATTTTGAATCCGAAAACAGTACTAAGCTCAGCTCATCAAGGTGAATTTTTTCGTATACAGCACGTCCTTGATATTCCAATTTTTATATTCTTGAATTTTTCTCTGGACCTCTTTTCGCAAATGTGTAACGCAGCGCGCATTGCTCCTTATAGACTACAGCAAGAACCTTTCGATAGTACTTCCTCTGCAAATTATAAAGCGGCAAAAAGTAGCCGTAGGTCTCTTTCCAAAGGGGGTAGAGGGGCTGGTAAACTGTGAAAAAATCTTGTCGTCCTAGGTTCTACTCGCCGTAACCCTAGAATACGAAGCTATCTTGCTAAGAATATGTGATTTTCGTAATCAGCAGGTCGGGTGACCTCTATGAGCAGGTTCCGAGATGTTCGGGTTATTTCATTTTTTCTCGTTTCGCGCTCTAAAACTAGCCGACGGATTTTGGTCAAAATGTTCAATATCTTGAATTGTAAGGAAACTTCGCTTATAGAGTTTTCGAAACGCGCTGTTTATGCATATGTAATCTTCGAGGAATATAGGGTCTTTTTGCAGAGATATGGAGTGGTAACTGTAACGGAGTCGCGAATGCTCAATTTTGCTTGCACCTATTGCGTACCTAACAGAAAACTTGCCTGCTTGCTTTAAATTGCAAATATTATGTTCACTTCGCCCCAAGGGATCCTACTGTATTGAATTTGGTGGTTGCGTGTGATTCAGCTGCTCAATTGAATATCACAGCAACTTCGTAGCTAGAGCTCAAATTACCTTACTACCAAGTCTAACACAATAAGATCCATCAAGCTATGTGAAAAGACTTGATCGCTGTGTTATGCAACGCTCACGGTGAAAGTTCGACGAAGTATGCGATCCTAACATTTTGGGCAAAATGCATGGGGACGTGTTTTCATAGGCTCGTGACTCGGCGATTATTACAGATTAGAGCCTGATGCATGCATCATTTGATAGCACAGTTCCTAGTAACTTTAACCTTTTAACCTTAAAAACAAGCAGGCAAGTTTTCTGATAGGTACGCAATAGGTGCAAGCGAAATTACGAGCATTCGTGACTCCGTCACAGTTACCCCTACATATCTTTGCAAAGAAACCTTATATTCCTCGAAGACCACAATCTTCATAAACAGCGTGTTCGAAAACCACTATAAGCGAAGTTTCCTTACAATAAGATAACCAACATTTTGACCAAAATCCGTCTGCTAGCTTCAGAGCGTAAAACGAGAAAAAATAAAATAACCCGAACATCTCGGAACCTGCTCATAGAGGTTACCCGACCTGCTGATTGCGAAAATCACATATTCTTAACAAGATAGCTTCGTATTCTAGGGTTACGGCGAGTAGAACTTAGGACGACAGGATTTTTCCACAGTTCACCAGTCCCTCTATCCCCTTTGGAAAGGGGCCTACGGCTACTTTTTGCCGCTCTATAGTTTATAGAGGAAGTACTATCGAAGGGTTCTTGCTGTAGTCTACAAGGTGCAATGCGCGCTGCGTTACACATTTGCGAAGAGAGGTCCACAGAAAAATTCAAGAATATTGAAATTAAAATTCAAGGACGTGCTGTATAGCGAAAGATTTGCCTTTATGAGCTGAGTGCAACGCTTTTCTCTGATTTAGATTAGATTAATTCCGAAGGAAGTTGCGGCGAGTAGAATTTAGGAACGCGTGTTTTTTCCGGAATTCATCAG